CTTTGAATTGCTTCCAGAACCAGATAACTCTGGAGGAGGCACGCTTTCCGTTAAAACGCAGCTTCGTCCTCTTTGGAAACAAGAGACGGCATGTGATTAACTTCTCCTGCAAAGAGTCATTACTTGATGAACTCGCAGATATAATCGTTCCTAAGGGCGTAAACGCCATTCATTGTGACTTGCCCACGCTGGCAATGATACAGGACGAATTGGTTCGGCAGTTTCCAGCCACCAAATTTTGGCATTGCAAAAACCGTGTAACGGATATTTTTGCAGTTCCTGAAAGACGGGAAATCCTCACCGTCGAGCACAACAGGGCTCACAGATCGGCCCAAGAAAATGTTAAGCAGATACTCTCCGAGTACTACTTTCCAAAGATGGCCAAGCTAGCCACTGAGATTGTAGCAAACTGCAAAACATGTGCGAAAGCCAAGTACGATAGGCACCCAAAGAAGCATGAGTTAGGCGAGACTCCGATCCCCTCTCATGTGGGAGAACTGCTACATATCGACATCTTTTCCACAGACAAGAAATACTTCCTCACTTGCATCGACAAGTTTTCGAAGTTTGCAGTTGTGCAACATGTCCACTCTAGGACAATCGAGGATCTTAAACCGGCCATACTCCAAATCATGAACTTTTTCCCTAGGGCTAAAGTAGTCTATTGCGATAATGAACCTTCGTTAAACTCGCACACTATCTCAGCCATGCTTGACAACCATTTTGGCGTCAGCATTGCAAATGCCCCACCACTTCATAGCGTTTCAAACGGGCAAGTAGAGCGCTTTCACAGCACCCTCTTGGAGCTTGCTCGTTGCCTAAAAATCGACAAGAAGATAACCGATACTGTGGAAATTATTTTATTGGCAACCGCCAAATATAATAAATCAATTCACTCTGTCGTCGACAAACGGCCAGTCGACATCATGCAAAAGCATCCAAACGACCCACAGACGGACGTCCAGAATAAGATCGTTAGGGCGCAAAACACGCTCAGGGCTAGGGAAAATGCCTCCCGACAATGCAGAACATTCGAAGTCGGCGAGAAAGTTTTGGTTAAGTCGAACCGAAGGCTTGGCAATAAACTCACACCACTGTGTGAGGAAAAAGCTGTTGAAGCGGACCTGGGGACCACGGTCCTCATTAAGGGGAGGGTGGTCCACAAGGACAACATTAGATAATAATTCATTTTTTCTAACGTTTACACCTAGCCACTTGGCGTAAGTTTTCTTTTCCACAAGGAACAACATTAGATAATAATTCATTTTTTCTAATGTCTACCCCTAGCCACTTGGCATAAGTTTTTTTTTCCATATTTTCTCACCCCTATCCACTCGGTATAAGTTTTTGTTATAATTGTGCTTTTTTCTTTATGCTTTGGTGGTGGGCTACAATATTCTAAACAAACACTACAATACATCCAATATTACAGGTTCGCATTCGTATCTCTGTTAGTCCTGCTTACCGTAACATCGGGGCACGTCTCGGACTACTCGCAGGCCAAATATATTCCCATCATTGATGGTAGAATTTTAGTTTGGGAAGAATTCGCGTTCGTCACACACTCGGCGAATCTCTCAGAATATAGGCGCGTGGTGGAAGAAACAAATGGCATGATCAGCATGTTTCCCCAGTCACACATGCAGAAACTTTTGATTGTCGATGTTGCTCATCTGCGTGACCTGCTCGACTCGTTGAGCATCCACCACAGAGTAGCTAGGAGTTTGGATTTTCTAGGAGCGGCGTTAAAAGTAGTGGCGGGAACGCCAGATGCAGAGGATTTCGAAAAAATTAAATTTAATGAATTCCAGTTAATAAATGCAAACAATAGGCAGATAAACATCAATAGTAAAGTACAAGACCAAATTAATAATATTACTTCCACCGTCAACCAACTTCTGAGGTCAGCCAAGGGAACCCAAGTTGACACGGGGCATCTTTATGAGATGTTATTATCCCGAAATAGAATGATTAGTATGGAGCTGCAAAACTTATTGCTAGCGATTGCTTTAGCTAAGGCCAACATTGTGAGCCCTAGTATACTAGATCATGCAGACCTAGAAGATATATGGATAGAAGAGCCCACAGATACCCCCATCAAAGACCTATTGTCCGTTGCTTCCGTTAAAATATTACAGTCCGATAACCTTTTGTATTTTGTCATCAAATTTCCAATAATCAAATCATCCTGTATTAAAATCACTGTTTTTCCCGTGTCCCATCATGACACGATGCTCAGGCTGGAGGACAAAATAATAGCTGATTGCAATGGAGCAATTCATACGGTCAGCAATTGCTCCACAACATCTGGAGCCACATTTTGCCAGCTGGCGGTAAGAAGGTCGTGCGCACAAGAGCTCCACGCTGGAGGCATAGCGCACTGTGACATCCAGCACAGCGATCTACATCCAATTACTCGCGTAGATGAAGGCATCATAATTGTAAACGATCGTCCGGCACGTGTGAGTGTAGATAATGGCACTTACATCCACATACGAGGCACGCATCTCATTACCTTTATTGAGAGTGCCGTGGTTAATGAAACCCGATATGTCAATAATGACAGGGCCCAGAAGAGGGTCCCAGGAGTAGCCAGCTCGCCCTCCCTGAATATCACTATGGAGCACAACATCCTCAGTCTTCCATACCTTCACCGCTTGAGTGAACGTAATCTGGAACACATAAAGAGAGTCGGGGAGAATATCAACGACTATCATTCACATCAGATAGTACTGGTGGCAGCAGCAATATGTTGCGCGTTGATCTGCGTCGGTTTCACCTATCGGCGAGTCATCCAGGCCAGGAGAACTACGGCCCAAATAGCAGATATGATCGCCCAAATAGGGTCGGCCGAGGACGGCCTTAATTCTGAGGGGGGAGTAGTTAACTAAGTAAGTTAACCGGGCGACGGCAATGACCGATCGTCCGAAAGCTCGCTCCGGCCAAATTGCTGACACAGCGTCTGGCCGGAAGCCCGTGCATAGCCGGCAAGCACTACCCATTGGAGTGGCCGCTATGAGTCCCTTTTTATGTTAGCTTTAAGTTTAGTTCTCATTTTGATTTGAAAGAATAAAGAGCTAACGCTCACGAATTGAAACTCCGGCCATCGCCGTATTTGATTTATTGAAATTACACCCAGTCTGAGTCTCTAGGCCAGCGGGCTAAAAGAGGGCAGTTACCCTCTCAACCTAATCGTCATATATTTACTGTTGATGACGCAGGCCAACCGGCCAACTACAACACACACAGCGGCTGATATTACCAGCTACAACTACGGTCAACCGACCTCCTGCTACAGACGTTCTGCCAGCCAGCTTCACCCCCTCTACAGACGGACGGCCAGCCGGCACACGGATTAATTAATTATTTAATTTGTATAAGGCGCCTACTGTACTTGGTCATCGCCTTAGTTTTCTCTCCCGCTGAAGGGCAGTTCGCAATTTCCCAGCTGCATTTTCCAAACATGGGTAATACCTATGTTAAAGGGTGTATTTTTTTGTGAAACCTATATATTATTAAGCACTACACATTTTTTGTATACCCTTACTATAAATATCTTGTTGTCTAGATATGTAAGGTATCATTTTGAAAATATTCTAGTTTTTAAAAGATTATCATGGTCAAGATCTACGTAATATGGGTTATACTATAAATATTTGTATAATACATTTTTTTTCCAATCAGTGTTTAGCATATTTTAAGGTTTAACTTTTTTATGACCTGACTTAAAAAAAAGATATGAGAACTCTTAAACAATTTATTTTAGTGGGTACCTTCAAGCCCCATAACTCAACATGCCTGCCTTATTTGCAATTATTTTTGCGCATTCTTGGTAATAGTTGCCACTGTTTTTGCTTTTGACCCCATTTAGTCCCACTCCATTTCCAGCTACTAACTTAGACTTTGTTTTAGCCCTTAACATGCAACATTTTGCGACATTGGAGGGATGTGTAGGGATTTATGGGGGTAGTTACTGATGGGGGAGTTTTCCGGGCGGCTCTCTTGGGGGTTGTTGGCGAATTCAATGCCAAAGCAATTGGCCAAGGCTCGTCGGGATTTACCCATAGGTGAACTGGGGTTACAGTCACCGTGTTCTGTCTGTAATTGTTTCGTGTCGGGCCTGTCATTGAAGGTCAGTGTCTATAAAGGATATTGGTTTTGGATTGAAAGGGTTCGGATCCCAAAGGGAAACACCTGAGCGTGAAACCTATAATTGAGTGTTAAAATAAACGAAATGGGTTCAGAGCTATTACTATTTGACAGTTTTTTGATTCGCCTAAATATTATATGTCCTTTAAATATTATGACATGGCATACTTTTCAAGGTCTATAAATAAAACTACTATTTTCCTTAAGTTATAAATATGTATATTTGTTCATTGAATGTTGAAAGTGAATGCAAATGGTAGTAATCTTATGGTTGCTTAGACAGTATTTTTATCTATAAGTATTATAATTGATTTTAAATGATACATAGTGATTTCCTACCCCGTAATTCTGTATATCTGAAATGGATCCTAATTGCTTTTAAAGCTCATTTTAGATGTATATTTTGTAATTGCACAAACCCCAGTATTTGTCACCTAATTAAAGCTGCATCAAAGGGGAGGGGCCGCCGCGATGATGGTGAGAAAATTGTCAGTGAGTCACATTAAACAAACTAATTTGTGTTAGCCAGTGTTGTATTTGTTGTTCTTGTGTGTGTAGATTGTGCAAAATTAGCATGTCTAACAATAACAACACAGCACTGCGATAGTCTTGCTGGTGTAGTTATTGTTGTATCTGTGCCTGTTTATTGTACAATTAGCTCTGGGTGGGGCCCTCCGATCTCACAGACTCCATCGTATCGAAAGATCTCCGAGGGAGACTCAAAACTGTGACGGAAGCTAAACTTTAGTGCATTTCCAACTCTTCTAAAAATTATTTACTGCCGAGCAAACGACAAACTGGTTTTAGTTGCTTTTTTTCAAATTTCGTTTTTGTTTGGGTTACTGTATTACATTTTTCAAATATTTGTTGAGATTGCAGAGAGGTGCAGAACACTAGTGCAGCCAAATGTTGTGGGTTAGCTTTCGAGTTATATCTCACACTAAATACACAAATAAGTTAATGAATTTTTTCACGCGCGCTAGATAGTTTTTGATATTTCAGTTCCAACTGCGACTTGGAGCGGAAATTGGGTTTTCGAAACGCTCTGAAACCGACGACACGCCAACGACAACTGTTGTAACCTGAACCCAAAACCGAAACCAAACCGTTCCAAAGCCCGCCAAACGAGCTCTATGGCCACAGCCCCAAGAAGAAGAGAGTGGTTCGGGTTAAGAGAGGCCCCGAAGAGAGCGTTTCGAGTCAATTTTTTCAAATGCTGCCCAAGTATTGAATAATTTTATGGCGGCGTAGAAATTAACACCTGCATGCCATACAAAGTAAACAAATTTTGGCTTTTGTTTAAGCCTTAAATGCTCTATTAAACTTGGGGTTAAAAATAAAGAATTTTGAAAAGGGTATTTAAAAAAAACTCGGCTTAGTAGGAAGCGACTGTAAAGCATTCTTATGAAATTTCCCTCTCCCGATAGTCATGACACAAACCAAAGCTTTACGTAGAAGGGCTTAAAAGGATTTTTTTATGGTAGAAATGGTTCCTTATATTCAGCCAATTATTTAGAATATAATTTCAAAATTTCAATAAAATGAAAAACATTCGCTAATTTTGTTTTTAACTTTTGATTTTGTTTAATTTCAATTCATTTCACTTGAATATTATTTTTCTTTTAACAAAAATATTCACAGATATAGAGATGAACTAAAAACGTAGGCAGTACAAACACTTGAATAAATACAAATAAAATTATGCTGTACACAAGTTGAGCGACAAACTTTCAAAACTATATACAGAAAATATTTAAAACTGTTAAAATCATGGAAAACAAAACTTAAACACAGTCTTTCCGTTTACAGAACTCTCAAAAACAATTGCTGCTACTTATTATCTAAATCTAACAATAACTATAATAAGATCCGATAACTAAGTAATTACAACAGAACTTGAAAATTGTATATACATCTATATAATATCCAGTCAGCATAAATTTGTAAAATTATTTTGATTGGTTGTGCTCTTCTTTTGATTGCTTCACAGGACTAGGCTGCTGATTCTGGCTCATCAGGGATATTCAATACATATTGATATATATATAGATATGTATAAAATCCTAAGCATATTTTACATTAATTTCACTTAATGGTTCAGTTCTTAGCTAGTTTAGTTGTATTTGATACATAACGCCTGAGGGTAGGCAGTGTTTCTGGATCAGTTTTCTTTAGAGCCCACGATCAAAAAACCCGATCGCTGAGCTTCAGACTGAGTGGAGTTTTGGGGGCCAACAGGAACTCGAATTCCGTTTCCAGGGGCTTCACAAAACTCACATCAAAGGCCAGCACCATCTGAAAAATATAATTATATAGGATGGTTAGTTCAGTGATTCCTTCCCATATTGAGATATAGATACTTACCTTAGCTAGCAGTAGCACTACCTCCATTTCCACAAAACGCTTTCCCGGACACGATCTTCGACCCACTCCGAAGGGCACCACTATACTGGCACTATCCACATTCACCGTGAAATTCTCGGTGGCAGGATCAATCCAACGCTCCGGGGAAAACTGCTGGGCTCCCTTAAAGTTGCTGTCCTTGTGACACGCGATCATATTTTGACAGAGGACCACGGTCTGTGGATCAGAAATATAATGGGAATCAATAGAATATTACAATAATATGAAGAAGAAATTCTAAATGTTTAAATTATTTTAAAAACCTTTATGTGCATATTTTCAATAGGTCTTTAGAGTTATGACAGTTGATATTCTCTTTTGCATAGGCTAAACAAAATTTATAGAAATTAACTCACCCCTGCATTTAGCGAATAGCCCGAAAGCTCCATGTCCTCCTCCAATATCCTGGCCAGACAAAAGGCGGTGGGCCTCAGTCTGTAGGACTCTTGTATGCAGGCCTTCGTATAGGTGGCATTCGTTAAAGCATCCTGCAGGATATTCGTGTCCCGATACTCGCAGAATTCACTGAGGATGCGGGGCATGGCCCCAGGATCCCCAGTTACAGAACTCAGCACGAACAACAAAGTGTTGGCTAACTAAATAATAAAAATTATTTTTAAAAGGAATTATTTTTAAAAAGCAAAGAGAAACACTCACAGTTTCTATGCCCGCGGCTATAAAGTCTATAATAGCCGACTTTTTATCCCTTATGTCCAGATCCTTGAGCTCCAGAATATTGAGAAAGATACTCCGCAAACCAGCAGCGTCGTCGTCCTCGCAGGCTGCCGACTTTTTGAGCTCTTCCAGCTCATGGTCGATGATCTCGGAGATCACACTGGGTTATAAGCGATTCGAGTTAGATGGGAATAGAATGGGAGACCATACCTATACCTACTCATAGATCAAGTCCTCGGCCTTGGCGAACTCCCTGTACGTTTTGGTGGGAAAGTATTTCCACAGACCCAGACCGTAGTAGGAGTCCCTTTGGGAGATGAAAAGCTGTTTGACAGCAGCGGCCAGTTGGCTGATCTTCTGCGGCTGTTGTGTATCGACAGCCAGGAAACCCATCCTCCTGCCCAACATCAAAGTGCAGACGGCCTCCAGACCCATCAGATTGGCCAGATCCTCGAAACTGGGAACCACCAGGGTCTCCGGATCCCGTCTAGATTTCAGCAGTTCGATGAAATCATCGCAAACCGCATTCAAGGCGGGCAGGAAGTTCTGCAGAACCCTGGGAGAAGTAATGCTGGAGGTCAAGGAGGATCGAAGTCGCTGCCAACTTGGTCCCTGTTCGTTCACAATTCCCACACTCGCATAGCGATCCGGTCGGGACTGGCGATACATCACGATAATTTCGGTGGGCGGTCTGAATGGGTATTTGCTGGGATACTTCAGCACCTTCTCCAGATCCTCGCGGTTGTACAGGTGCACAATGGGCACATTGGAGGGCATCACCTCCAGCACTATGTCACCGTATTGCCTGTTGAGATCTAGAACATAGCATTTCAAAAATTCATATTACGTTCTACTTTAATGCTTAGAAACACAATCTACAATTACAATACTTTTTATTTAAATTAGTGATTCAATTCATACCATATTAATGGCTCATATTATATGTTATTTAAATGTTTAGAAACTCGGAAATACAACAAGTTAGTATATTACAACATTTTTAAAAAAGTATACATTTAAGTATCATGATATCATTTCCTCCTTGGTTAAAATATTGAATAAAAATAATAATTACTATAATTATTTGGTTTTATTGGATAATCAATTTAAAAAACCCAAAGATTTTCTCAAAAATAGAAACCGTTTAGAAAACCCCTTAAATAAAAGGTGTTATATGATTCTTGCTAATGGGAGCATTTATAACATATAGTTTTCTAGATAATGTCTTACCCGCATATACCTCGTGCAGCTTGGTCATCTTGTAGCGGCGGAAGAAGAGTAGGAATATCCACTTGGTGCCCAGGAAGGGGATCCTTTGCGGACCGGGGATGTCCCAGATGCCACGCCTCCGCTTCCTTGGCGCCTCCGGTTCAATGGGCGCGGCATGGTAGCAATCCTCCAGCGGCGTGTCCTTGAGGAGCGGCCGGAGGTAAATCTCCGCCAATTTTTGGCGATGGAGAGCGCAGTAGCAGCCGAGTACAAGTGCCAGGGCCAGCAACAGTATCACGGCCATTACCATGGGGCGCTGCAATTAGAATTCTGGGTCTTACTGACTTGATCCACTTTAGAGGCACTTATGCTAATTCTTCCATGCGATTCTAGGCCTTTAATTGAAGTCTGGCCTTTCGTTTCGACTCGATGCCAACCGGTCGACTAATTTGTATTTGGCTTTATATAGCTTTCTTGGCCACCAGTCGCCCAGCTGATCATCGATTTTGCATTATTATTGCCAACAGGCGATAACACTTTGTTCTCGGTTCTTAGTTCTCAGGTTTTTTTTTGGCTATTCTGCAAGGCAAATAAATGTCTGGCAGAAAAGAAACACGCTTTATGGGTTTTCAAGCCAGATAAGATAATAGCCACACAGGCGTGATAAAGTTCAAGGTTAATAGCCGAAAATTGTGTGTAACGATTGTGTTGCGAATTTCGCAAGATTGCAAAATGTCTATCAAATGCGATGTTAATTAAGGAATAGCAAATATTGGCTTAACAATCAAAAATTCCGCAACCAATAGAACCAGTTATTCTCCTTTTATAGAACTTAAGTCGCAAAATGATCTGATTTAAATTTATATAAAATTGAAAATTGCCTAACATATATGATTTTTTTGAACTTGGCCTACCCTAACCTACAGTATTTTAAAGTAACTCATATCTGAAAAGGTCGCTTTAAATCTTTCTAAGAAAATAAAAATGGGAAAGAGAATACTTCTTATTGGTTTCATTTTTCTTTTCCCCGTTCTTATTAGATCATTTCCAATCAAGACCTTTTTCCATTTTCCTATTGCTAACCGGATATAAAAACAATATAAATAAGCTGGAATCGATTTAAACCTGACGGGGGTTACCTGCTCGGAGTGATTAATGAATGGCCCAGTCAAATACAGAAAAAAAGAATCAAGAAACCGCTGATAGATGATCGATTCTAATATTTGCCCTGACCACACAACAGCACAGCCACACGATCGCTTGGCAAATAAATACGGAATACGAATAGAAAACCTCACTATGACTTTGGGCTACCGAAAAATGGTATTTGCAAAAGAATCGGAGGGCTAGATAAGAAGTCTTCGGACACAGGTAAGTAATATCTTTATCTACGTGACGCCCCTCGCATGGCAATGTGCCTGAGATTCGGCGGGAGAGGTGTGGCAAATCTTTCCACTAATGCAAATTCGCGCACCGATAGGCCTGTGCAAAAATAGAGAACAGAAAGAAGAAAATAAACTGGAAATACAAATCACAGACATCTGAGGCGAGCACTTCCTTCTTGGGGGCTTAATCACTTCCTCATCTCATCATGAGATCGCTTCTCAGCGCGACGCGTGCGCCGTTCTATGCGCTTCTCACTTTTCCAACGTGCTTAGAACAACAAAAACACAAACTCGCTTTTTAATAAGAATTCTTGCGAATTCCCCTCTGCTCCGGCCCCATTCTCCGGCTTACTCTCTGATTAATATGCAGATGGGATCCGCTCGCGACTCACAACTCCACGCCGTT